TGAGCTGAAGGCAGTCGCTTAACCAACTGAGCCACCCAGGCGCCCTTAAGGGGTAATGTTAATGTGTGTTTTGAAAGAAAAGATAATTGCTTATTCTTTGAGTGTTCATATTTTATTTATTTTTTTAAAAGATTTTTTTTTTAAAAAGATTTTATTTATTTATTTGAGAGAATGAGAGAGAGAGAGCATGAGAGGGAGAGGGTCAGAGGGAGAAGCAGACTCCCTGCCGAGCAGAGAGCCCGATGCGGGACTCAATCCCGGGACTCCAGGATCATGACCTGAGCCGAAGGCAGTCGCTTAACCAACTGAGCCACCCAGGCGCCCTAAAAGATTTTTTTTTAAGTACTCTCTATACCCAACGTGGGGCTTGGACTCACAACCCCGAGATCAAGAGTCACATGCTCTACCAACCACGCCAGCCAGGTGCCCCATGAGTGTTCATATTTTAAATAATTGTGAATGAAAGTTTTATTCTAAAACATGTACCTTAGATGTCCCCCCTCCCTGAATCCCCATCCAGGAAAAGTGGGAATAGCCCAATTCTAATATGTATCAGAAGTCATTACTTTCATAAGCAAAATTAAAAAGAGTAACTTGTTCTTTGGGATATTTATGAAAATACTGCTACATGAAACTTCTAAGCAAGTCTAATCAATTTTTCACTGGTAATTTATAAGGACACCTGGGTGGCTCGGTTGGTTAAGCATGTGGCTCTTGGGTTCGGCTCAGGTCATGATCTCAGGGTAGTGAGACTAAGCCCTGTGTGGGGCTCTGTGCTCAGCACCGAGTCTGCTCGAGATTCTCCCTCCCTCTCCTTCCCCCTCTGCACCACCCCCCATGCTCGCTCGCTCTCTCAGATAAATGAATAAATATGATCTTTAACCAAAAAAAGGACAAACATAACTTTTTAGGTACAATCAAAGCAGTAATTAAAATATTACTTCCACTCCTTCTCTTCAACCTAAAAAAGCTAAGACCTTGTATACTTTAAGCAATGAATATGCTTTTATTATTAGGAAAAAACTGCTCCCGTTCCCGTGTGTGTGTGTGTGTGTGTGTGTGTGTAAGTAACAGCAATGCTAATGACACACTGGAAAAAGAGTCACTTGAATGGCCAATACCAAATGGATGTGTGATTTACAATTATTATCTGGCTTAATTCTTAGACTATTCTGGCAAGGCTAACCTGAAAACAACTCCGGAATGCTGGTGGAATAATGGTCTTTTTGATGGGAGGGGTGTTTGGCAGTCTCCATGATTATATAACAATAGGTTATTTTAACTTACAAACTTACATTTCGTAGAGAAAGGACAAATAGTTTGGGGAAACTATTTTGTCTGAATGAGGCTCCTCTGAACTTTGCTGTTAAAAACTACCTGTTGTGCTCATAAATATTTTGGTCAGAGCCCCACTCCCGAGCTGTAGTTCCATGCCCCCCTGCACCCTCCTTGTACTCTTTCAAGCAGTTTCGAGGGAGGGAGACGTTGGTAGATGAAGAGGATGTGTCATGCCTGCTCCGGAATCTGGTGGCTGGTGTCACAAAGGCCGCGTCCGCACTGACTGGCCCTCCGTGGCCCCTTTTGGTGGCAGCGAGCTTAGCAGCTGGCCTAGAGCTTGCGGGGCGGAAGGGACAGCTTGCCTCTTACTAGCTGGATTCCGTCTGCTTCCGACAGTAACTCTGCCAGGCTGGTGACTGGAACACCACCCAACACTTCACATGATGTTTAACAACAAAAAGTAGAGGGGGTGGGGAGATACAAAACTGAGGCTTGTGGGAAACGCTCCCTGAAAAATTCCTGACGAGCTCTCTTCTGCCTTGGTGGATTTTGAAACAAGACGGCAGAACGAAGCAAGCTGTCTTAGGATCAACAGCAGATAAACACATCTCCTCTCTGGTAGGCAGCTAGCCTGCCCTCTGCCTTTGGAAGTAGGATGCTGAGTGGCTAGTGGCTAGTGCGCTTAGTTCCCTAGCGGTGCGGGGACAAATGACCACAAACTCAGTGGCTTACAACATTAGGAGTTGATGCCCTAGTTCTGGGGCACAGAAGTCCAAAATCAGTTTCCCTAGGTGGCCATCAAGGTGCTAGCAGGCCCGTGCCCCTTCTGGAGGCACCAGGGGAGGATGTGTTCCTCTTCCCCCTTTTCCAGCTTCTAGAGGCTGCCCGCCTTCCTCGGCTCCTGGCCCCTTCCTCCCTCTCCAAAGCCAGTGGTATAGCATCTCCTCCCTTTTCTGACCCCTGCTTCTGTCCCTTTTTTTTTTTTTTTTTTCAGACTCTGCCTCTTTCTTGTAGGGACCCCCGTGACTGTGATTATACTGGGTCCACCCCAATAATCAAAGGTAATCTCCCCATCTCAAACCCTTAACTTTAATCACACAGTCCCTTTTGCCATTAAAGGTAACATATTCACAGGTTCCAGGGATTAGCAAGTGGACTTCTTTAGGGAGCCCATTGTTCAACCTACCACAGTTCTCTCTCTTTATAGTCTTAATTCTTCGCGTTCTGTTTTAAAGTGGAAGGCTCAAAGGTCAGGATGAGCCATTTCAGATCTAAGTATTCGTTGTCAGAGAAAACAGAACTAATTCAAATGCCAACCTTCACATTTAAAAAAATGAGTTGACTTGTCCTTATACATTAATGTGGTTCAAATCACATAGAATATAATGCTTTTACGGACAAGGCATAAAAACGAAAAATTTCAAGGCTTTTCTTTCAATTCCTGCACAGTTGTGCAACAAGCTGTGGAGGCAATGAAGGCGGATAGCTGTGGGAGGGGACAAATCACTTTCTCTTTCCTTTTCCCTCATATTATTACTATCATAAAGGTTCCAAAGCATTTCTTTCAAACGTGATTTGGGATTGTAGCATATTGTCAAAGATTATCCATACCCGTACCAATTCTCTGCTAACATAGCAAACTCAGAACTCTTATGTAGATGGGCTTCATATTTCAAAACTTAAGTGATACACATCATTACTCCAGTAAAAGAAAAGCTTTTAAGTTAGTGACACAAAGTGTTTAAGAAACTGTTGCAAGGTCTTGGCCGGTCTGGCTGTGTCATAAAGGCAAAACATGCTGATTGAGACCCACATTCCTTAAGCAGGTGATCTGTGCTCTGGAAAGAGCACCCCATTTACCTTTGAAAACCCACAGTGTAGATGGTCTTAACATTACTTTACCAGTACTTGAGGTTCCAGTGTGTTCCCCTCCAGTTCAAAGGCTTACGCCCACAGCCTTCTTAATCTCATCCTGACTCGGTAACCACCAGCTGGGGACTGACAAGATTATCCTCATTTATTCTCCGGACAGAGACTTGCAAATGGGCTTGTCATCCCTCTAGGATGATGGAGGAGTCAGACTGACAATCTGAGCTGAGACACTCTTTGATAGATACCTCTGCACGGTTCAAAGTCAACACATGGGGAATTCTTATCCCTGTGTGTGACAGGGAGGTCCTTGAATGGATTGGGCTAATGATGTATGCCTGGAACCTTATCATGCCTTAGTGATGCTAAGGGAATAATAACTGAAAGAAGGACTTGGAACATTAATGTGCAATTCATATTGTACCTTTTAAAAAAAATGCAGTTTAGAAGTAAGAAAAATCAGACCCTAGAAATTTCTGCACATAATGGGCAACAAAAATATTCCGCTAAAAATCATGCCATGGAGTGGGGCGTGGGGGCACCTGGGTGGCTCAGTCCATTGAGTGACTCTTGATTTCAACTCAGGTCATGATCTCAGGGTCATAAGCTCGAGCCCCGTGTCAGACTCTGCACTTGGCGGGCATAGAGTCTGCTTGAAATTCTGTCTCCCTCCACTCCTCCCCAGATAAATAAATCAATAAAATCTTAAAAAAAAGAAAATCATGCTGCAGGGGTCTTCTGGGGAAGATGGCAGAGCAGGAGGGTCCTTATAGTACACTTAGTGCGATGAGCACTTCGGAATGTGTAGAATTGCTGAATCACTATACTGTACACCTGAAACTATAGGATACGTGTATGCTAATTATACTAGAATTAAAAATTTTTTTAAATCATGCCACAAAAGAATTGTGGGTTTTTAGCGATAAACTTGAATTACTCCAGTTACCATTTTGAAATATTTTACTTTTAGTATACATTTTTAAGTGTTAAGCTCCATGCTAAGAGACATGTAAGAATGTATTTTTTAGGTTTACAATTTAAATAGCAGAAAGAAATGTCTTTGACCAAACACTGTAATTTAAATGTTTATTTTTAAGCCTACGTCAGAATTTAGAGTAGCTTGAATAAATGGCTAGTTTTTGGTATAGTTGTTTTAGACAAATGAATTTCACATGATACGAATAACTTATTTTCATAAAGCATTTCAATAAATCCCAGAGTTGGTTATTTCTTTATATGTAAATCTTCAAAGTTTCTAAATTTATAATCTAAAACTACTATGGTCGTATTTTATAAAAAGGATTTGGCATATTCAAGAATTCAAAATGTCACAAACAAAATATTACTAAGTGGTTTTTCAGAATTTGGTAACCATCTTTGAAGATAAATTCACAGATTTTTAAAGCTTCAATTTGATTTTGCAAAAAATGTAGTAAGGACAATCCAGCTTAACAAGTTATCTTTAAAATTCAGTTTCCAAGGCAACAATCATAGGTCCCTGTACACTGCTTTAAAAAAATCATTTTTATAAATTTAGTTACTGTAACATCAAAGGCAAGAGTTAAATATAACTGCCTTACTTTTATCTCCTTTTATCAGACTTTTTGAACAGGCCGACTTCTTTCTTTTTAATGGACTAATACCAGATCCCTAGTCTGCTGCCCACTAAGTACAAGAAGGTTAAGGGCAGATAAACTGCCAATTTCCAAAGTGGCTGTCTGTGAATCTAGCCTACTGCATGTGTGTTAAGGGCAAACCAGGATCCAGCCCATTGTATATGCATAACAGCAAATCTTATAACTTATTCCTTCTAACTTCGTAACTCAATAAAGCAAAAAGGGAAGAGCTCTTACCTGCACATTTCACTCCCTGAGCAATGAGACCCCACATGAAGTTGGCACAGTATTCACACCAGTGTGGCCCTCTGAATGTATGGACCTGAAAAAGAGTAGTGAGTGACAGAGTGGCCAGAGGGGAAAACACACGGACGAGGAGATTGTTTTCTGTCAAAGCACTGAAATACAAACCATAGTTAGTACCGAAGAGGCGCGGTATGGCTACATTTAGAAAAACCTTGGTTGAGTGGAACTGACAAGCAGTTAAAATTTCTGCCAGAGCTCGATTTCCTCTGTTTCATAAATGGTGATACATCAAACCAATATTCTGTGATTTACTTTGCAAAACAATTTCTACAGTGGTTTTCCAACTCGTCCCCTCCAGCTGTAAGCCTCATCTCTGAGTTACATAAATACTGGCATTTTCTGAGTGCTATGGCATGGAGGAGGAGAAGGAGTGGCGAAGGGTATGTCTGGCTCCCGTCAGGATTTTGTTGGATGACCTACCTTCTGTGACCACAGATGGTGAAGGTGATACTTGGTGACTGGTCACAAGTGAATCATCAGAAAGGGCCAATTTCTGTTCAAAACCATTTGATACTTAATGTGTTAGTTCAGGGAATGAATATATTTTAGAAACTGCAGAAGCTACAGTTAATCAGAAACCCTATTTGAGTGTAGTAATTATGCATGAATCATTCCAGCCTCAAAAACGTTTTACTGCATTTGATTCCTTTATCCCTAAGAAAGGAATCCCCAAAGAGAGGATTCAAACACTAAGATACCTCTAGACTTTTCTGTATAGGAAAGAGAAGCCATTCTAGCTTAACTCAGATGAAAAAGTATTACTAGAAAAGAGAAGCAAGGAATCCAAACCCCAATATTAAAGAAAAAAAGAAAAAATCTGGAATATTATCATACTTTGAGACTTCTAAGGAAAAAAAAAAAATTTCTGAGCAAATATTGGCTGAAAACACACCCAAGAAATAAAAAGGGAGAGGGAACCAGGAAGTCACTGATCTGTGTATCAAGGTACATTTACCTGAGAAAATTTCTTATATGTATGATTTCCTCCTGCAGAAAACAGTCAGAGTGAAAATCACAAAGTGTGGCGGTTTGGCTCCAACATAAATATCTGCCAAAACAGCTACTGCAAATAATGAAATTCGCCATTAAGATGGTCATTTTTGCTACTGTTCTTTTTATGTATCAAATAGGTAAATGATTTTTAAGATAATATATAACTTATTTTTTCAAACTTAAGATGCTATTGAACACAAGACTTATAATGAACGTAAGATGCATATACTCCATTTAGAAAAACCAAGCCAAGTAAATTATGACAAACCATTGATTATAAGAGAAATCCCAATTCCAGAGATGTTAAAATGAAAAAAAAAACAACAACAACCCATATTACTAAGATCAATGAGAAAAGGTATGTCAGGATTCAGAATACTAATACTGGCTAAATAAGGCTGTCATGGATAACCTGGTGTTGGTTCCTTCCAAGGAGGTATGTGCTTGTGACTCTGGTCACTGCCAAGGGAGCTTGAGTACAAAATGTGTTGATTTTGAAAAGAAGGCCATAATCTCTTCTGTGTCTTCTATGGAAAAGCATCAGGAATGCAGACACAGTTGCTTCCGGATTGTTATTGATGCTCAGTGCCTGTAAATTGAAAGCATTTCCTAGAGTTTCTAAAGCAGAGCCCAGATCAACATTCAGATAGTCTGTGATGTCTTTGTGTTTGTGTTCGCCTGAGTGAATAAAACTGGATAAAGTATGCAGTCTTGCTTTGCTTTGAGGGGAATGAGTGAAACAAGCGCTGACTTGTATAAAAAAAAGTTATGTAATCATGAAATAGCTATAGAAGCATGACGTTAGTTTTAGGGAACGTCTTTGGGATACCCGCTGGCTCAGATGGTGCCAGATCTCGGATACTCCAGTATCCCTTGACTTGGTGAGGTTAATAGGAATGGACTAGAAGCATAGACTAGGAAGTAAGTCCCAGTCTTGTACCTGCCAGGTATCTCATGATAAAGGATCTTAAAGTTCCATGTGGGAGAGCAAAAACAGAGTAGATGATGTGAGGTAACTTACAACCGGGCTCGTGGCAGACAGCACTTCGTACTGAGAGGTTATGACAGAACCAAGTCCCTGCCCCGCCTTCCAAACAGCAGCAGTGAGTGTGGCATCTGGGAAATCTTGGGACGTTTCTTCATCTGACAAATAAGGAAGGATTTGAACGGTCCGAGCAGGCTGGCGCTCTGACTGAAGCATCACATGTGAGATCAGAATGCAATCTCTAGGAAATGGTTATTTATACATTTCCCTCTTGGACGGTGCTTTATAAAGGTGTCCGGAGCCATGTGGGACTGCTGCGTGGTTTTCTCTTTGTTTAAACCACTTGGAAGGTAGCTTATACAGCTCTCCAGGAAACGGTTCTAGAAAGGGGACTGAAGCACCGGAAGCTTACTAAATGTCTACTTGTGTAACAGGGTTTAACTGGATTCCCTTTTGAATCTTCATAATTCATAATTCTTAAATTTTGTTTTGTGACCTCTATGGCTCGACAATGGACTCTATTTGTAAAAATGGAATATTGTAGCCTTTTTTGTCTTTTTTTATTCCCCTAGAGGACATCAAAACAGAGACTTCATTCAGTGGTCATTTTTATTCATGCATGAGCATTTTTTAGGTAATGACAAACACAAAGAGATAAAAAGGATGCTGGCTCAAGGAATTCACTGTAGGTTTCTCCCATTAAATACAGTGTGAAAATGCTCCAGAGAAAGTGCCTGAGAAGTGCATGGGAAGGTGGGGGAGGGGCACTGTGCAGGCTTAAGATGCACCCCAAGAGATGGGTCAGCCAGGTGACCTGTGGGGCAGGACTGGAGTGTATGTGTGTTGGAGGGGGTGCATTAGGAAAATTCCTTGATTGTTCCAAGGAAATCAAAAGTTCGTGGCTTGAGCCAAACAGTGGGATGTTTAGAGAGTCATAAGGAAGTTCAGCATGGGCACAGGTGGCGATGACCACATGGCAAGAGCCAAGAGAGACAGACAGGGCCTCTCTTTTCCATGCCTACAGATTCATACTTTGCCCAATGAACAATGCAGGGCCACTGAAGATTTTTAAGGTGAGTGACACAGGCAGGCAAGGCTGGCGGAAGACAGATTAGGTAGGAGGTTATGTATGGCAGGAGTCCAGGTAACAGATGGTGTGGGCTGGAACTCAGGCAGCGGTGACGGAGGAAGGGGTAAAGGAGTTATGTAGGAGGCAGAATCAACAGGCCTTGGTAACCAACTGAATCCGAGGCACAGGAGAGGGGAAGAGCGCATCAGCAGGGGGAACAAAAGCAGAACAGGTTTCGAAGTGAGGAGGGAGGGGAATGGCAGATTGCAGACTTCTGGGAAAGAGTGGGTAACTAATGGAGTAAAGTTCCTGAAGATGGCAAATGGAGACAGGATCCAGGGCAGAGGGATTAGCTTTGAATAAGAGCATTATTTTCCCCATTCCCTGAGTTGGAAAAAGGGAAGGAGGGGAGCAGATGGCTATCAGGAGTCATGGGGCCTGGAGGCCAGAAGGCTAAGGGAATTCACTATCTAGAGTCTCTGCATTAACGATGGAAGTTCAGGTACTAAGCAAATGAGGAGTTTGCGGGAAAGGGGGGGATAGGAACTGGAACTGGCCAGAGATTCAGAGAAGGGATGCTGGACGTGAAAGCAAGTTTCTTTCTGGGATGACACTAAAGTCACACAATAAATGTCAAGTGCATTAAAGAAAAAGTAAATACTTTTTTATTTTTATTTAAGATTTTATTTATTTGAGAGAGAGAGAGAAACAGCATGACAGGGGAGAGGGTCAGAGGGAGAAGCAGGCTTCCTGATGAGCCGGGAGCCTGATGCGGGACTTGATCCCAGGACTCTGGGATCATGACCTGAGCCGAAGGCAGTTGTTTAACCAACTGAGCCATCCAGGTGCCCCAACAAATACTTTATAAAAGTGCTTTATCTGAATGTTTTATTTTATGTGCAGTTTTACATAATCCGTGATGTTTATATCATATATTTTACCAATTCAGAAAAAGATATCTTTAAAAATTAATCACACAAATCATGCAACTTCAAGCAGGACAACTGGAGAGCTGTTCCTTCCAGCACGATGGAAATAGGGTGCTGTTCCTGCACACAAAGCTCTAGGGCATGGATACCCGCAGATCATTCTGTTTAATAGATATGGGTATATTCTGAATACCTGTCTTTAAAATGACTAAATCAGAATGTAATGCGCATTCAAAATATAATAACTAAAAGGTCAAAAGTTGCACTTTAGGGAATTTTTCTGCTTAGGAGGATTCTGGGGTGGAATGTGGAAGACAACAGGCTTGGAGCAGTTCTCAAGGGGTCCAGGGGTCCAGGGCTTGGCCTGAGGCCCCACATTATAACAGTTGGCAACTTTTGCCTGGAATGCCCTATAACATAGTAGAGACCTTCTTAGGGGGCAGCCGCTGGTCAGCATTTGGGGTTCAGAATTACTGATGTCTTTACAACAAAAACAACTGGCGGATAATCATTAGTGACATTTTCCATAGGATTTTAATTCTAAATGGGTCCAAATTTTTTATGTTTTCAAAAGTTTGTGTTTTACTTTTCCTGTTTCTTATTCTCCAAGGCTGTCATGTCAGCTCTTTGTCCTTCTTCCGTACTCCCTTGTCCCTTTTCCCACTCACTGATTCTTAGATCCAGATGAGGTCATCTCAGAGAACTTGCTAGCACTGGATGTAAATCAAGAACATATGTCATCTATATTCCTTTTGAAGGCCTTTTAAAAGAAAAACACAAACTTCTGGCTTCTTGTCTGTGTTTCTTATAGTTGAGGCTGATGGGTAGTGAGGACAGTGGTCTTCAGATGAATGAGGTGTTAGTAGTATCTTACTTAATTCTATGACATCCACTAATCTTTAGTTATTGTTTCTTACAGTCTGTTTCTGCTGTTTCCTGTGTGACCTTAGTGACCTATGCTGGCTTTATAAGGTGGGAAACTGACCAGCACTATTTCTTCCTTAGAGTTTATCTGAACAAATCACTTGATCAATTTACCC